ACTTAAAACTCCACAAAAATATGATGTCTTTAGGTAACTTCAGAAATGGACATGTAAGTAGGCGGATTAAAAGAGGTTGACCCATGTATAACAAACTGAATGGTGGTGAAAGGTGACACTGAACTTGGGGATATCATTTTAGGGTTTTTTATGTTGCGGGGCATATCCAGAGGGGTTCATCAATGCCGGAGATCATCACGTTGCCGGAGTTCCTTGTCGTCATCGGAAGCCAACAAACATCCTTCGTCGTCGAAGAAGAATGAAGCTGAAAGTGACTGAACTTAAAAAATAAGTTTGAAAGTAACTAATTTTGGGAATTAATCCTTTTTTTTTGGTACAAAAAATGAATATGTAGATAGATCAGTCCACATATCCGCCAAGGAACATTGCCCTTCAGTACTACACAGCTATCCATAGGGGACTCTATCACACTTATGTCAAAGTCGAAGTTAAGGTCCCACCGCATACTTTGAATGCTAAAGAATAGATATAGTTCTAACGAGTTGTTATAGCTATGTAAATTCAAATTTAAGCATTAAACGAAGAAATTTGAATTTTTACTCATTAGACCTATGATCGCACAACCTATAGCTTATACTATTTCCACCACTATAATGTCATCCCCTACCCACTATGCCCAAGACTTGGATAGTATGTGTAGCATTCTTGGCACAATTTTAGTCTTGATGTGAATGGGATATTGTCGCAGTTGGTTACAAGACCTTATATATTTTATTTTAATATAAAATATATTATTTAATATGTTATTAATTTGTTAAACAAGATTATTGTTGTAAGAATAATTGAGACTTTTAACAGACTTAACATTGACGTTTGAGGGGTAATCATTCTTACGAGAAATTAAGTAACTGAAATTCTAAAGGTTTTTTTTTTGGTAAAAATAACATTAAAAAAAAAAAGATTCGGAGGGTTGAAATTTTTTTGAGAGGTATTCTAGTGCTTAAACACATTTTTTTTGAGATAATTTGAGAAATTATAAAGTTGATACTACTTCAATATTTTGGCTATAATTTTTTGCTCCTGATGTCTCTAATTTAAGTTAATTCATGCAACATTTGAAAAAAGATGCCAAGCTCCACAAAAGTGTATTACATAGACATCTGTGAATCGATCTTTAATTAAATCAAAATTGAGCCAAAAATTTAGAGTAAAAAATCACCAACGTCTAAACAAGGAAAGAGACACCTTGCTATAAAATTTATCTTATATTATAGTTAAAAAATTAAAATTTTAATTTATAGAAACCTAACAATGATTCAAATTGATTCAATTTTATTTATTTATTTTGATTTAATGGTATAAAATTTATTTCAAATTTGTTTTCTCCTGCTCAATAACATCATATTTCTCTATACGATCCCAAATGTTAAAAAAATCAACCAACAAACTTGTCAATATCAGATAACCTTATTAAACTATACCTACCTCTCTCCTCTTCCTCTCTTATTTTTTTGTTTACTTTAATTTTAAAATACATAATTAAAAATAAATAAATTAGTATCTAAAATATAAATGTTACTCTTGATTTTTGACATTGCATAGTGTTTTCAGATATTTAAGTCCTTTTATTTAATGTAATTAGGAGCATTAATAAGTCATATCTTGTTGGATTTATTTTATGTTTTGTCATGCTCAAATATTTTGAATCCAATATATAATAAGGTTTGCATCATTTATTTGTTGTTTGTAGATTTAATCCTTATCTTTTTCACCAATAATTAAATTTAATTCTATCTAATGGTCGTATTACATCTTTATTTAAATTTGAATTGGACTACATTTAAATTTAAATTTTTTATTATTTAAAAAAAATTATCCAATCTATACCAAATCAAACTACTTATATTTTTTTACTTAAATTTGGGTAAGGAAGATGATCTAGTTTCATTATTATCTAGGGCTAAATTAAGTCAATAATTTAGGCATTAGTTTTTAGAAATTGAAGCAGCCAAGAAGGGAGAAAGAGATGGCAGCCAAACCTGGTGCAAAGGCTGAGGGTGTTTATGGATCTGAATCTCCTCCAGAAGAAGAACAACCACTGTTGAAAAAACAGAAATTCGATGCGGAAGATGGCAACCAAGAACCACTAGTAGAAGGAAAAGAAGATGATTCTGATGATTGGCATGAAAATAAAGTGACCAAAGAAGAGTGGGCGAGGTATAACAAACAAGTCGAAGAAAGCGAGGTACATTCGATTCGGCGTTTATTTTTTATTTTTACTTATCTAACAACCTGATTGTTTATGGTTTTTGACTCTTATTTAACTTCACGTACCTACAGGGCTTTGACGTTGACAAACTTCCCGATAACCAATTGTGTGGTTTGATTGTACCAATTACAAACTTTGATTGTGATTCCTGGTGGCTTAAGAATGTCACCTGCTGTTCAAGCTTAGCCATAGATTCGTACAACACTGAAAATGTATGCCCTTGCATGTTTGTTGTGTAGTAAAATACTCCATAAGTATTATTTTTTTCATTAGCTCTTTATTTATTTATTTTGTGTTGGATTTAAGTGCTTCCTTAAAATGTAGGGTACAAATTACAAGTATTTGAAGGCCCTCAAATAAAATGTACAGCCTGTTGCGGGTTTTATGATGTATATCACTTTTGTGGCTGAGAATGTTGATGGTGGACATTGTATCTTTCAAGCTCTGGTGTACCATGGAATTGGTGAGCATGAAGTCGAGTTTTGTAGGCTTAAACAAGAAAAGGGAGTGGCTCAGTTGCCTAGAGCATGTGGCTGTTAAAGCACAAGGTAGGCTGAAACCAAAATACTAATTGCTCTGAAGGTATATTTTGTTTTTGTTACTTATTTGGACTACAGGACCTTTTCTTTCTTTCTTTCTTTAGAATTTTTCCTTAATCTATTTACCTGTTAAAAGGATAGATCATGAACGGCTTTTTCTCATGTTGAAAAGTAGAAACCTAAGACTAAAATAATCGACATTGGGTTTAGCTGGGTTGATGGGGAAAGGGATGCAACATAATGTCCTCAACATACTTAAGGAAGGACCACTAGCAATGACTACTCAAAGGCAAGTGTGTCAACCATTTGCTCTTTTTTCACTTATTTTTTTTAATGGGACATACGAATTGGGGTCACAAATGAGGCTTCACTTGTCCATCGTGGGCGGTATAGTAGAAGTCAGGTTAGTATATTCTGTAAACCAAAATACTAATTGCTTTAAAGGTATATTCTGTTTTTTGTTATTTATTTAGACTGCAGGACTTTTTCTTTAAGGATAGGTCATGAATGTCGTTTTCTCATGTTGAGAAGTAGTTATCATTGATTAAACATACAAAATTTAAAAATAGTTTAGATGGTTTGTCTAATTTCATATTCGAGTTTGGGTTTAGAGGGTTGATGGCAAAAGGGATGCAATATAATGGCCTCAATGTACTTAAGGAAGGACCACTAGCAATTAATATTCTAGAGGGGTAAATTTTGGGGTCACAACTGAGGTTTCATTAGTTCATCGTGGAACTACTAAGCTCGATATGTGATTTGGGTAGGAAGGAAAGGTTTCCATTTATATGTTTGATGAGATCTGGAGAAGGTTGTCTTATAACACAAGAGAATCAAAAAAGAAGGAGAAAAAGCTTGAGAAAAGCTCCAAAAGTTAACTTTTTGGTTGAATTGTGAAGGGAGAAGGGGAGGGCAAGCATTTGGAGTGATTGTAAAATCGATGGGCACATTGTCCATGCGCTTGTGTATAACAACCTTTTCTTATGGAACATTAGTGGTTTGAACACTACAATGGTTTTGATCTTGTTTATTGGTTTAAAATTAAATTTTTTTGGGGGTTAGTTGTATTGTGTACAATGGATAAATCAACACTTTTTATTTGTTATATATTATGTTTTGATATATTCTTTTGCCCTGTACGTACTTCTGTTCACATTGGTTGTGTCTTCTCCCAGTTTTGATTAAGAGAAGGAATTGGGCCAATCTCTTATGCTATGTTTGGTACATGGTATTAGGGCTTAGGAATGGAATGGACATTCCATGGGAATGCCTATTCTAATATTTGGTTTGCAAGATTTGAAATCCATTCTCATTCCAAAGGAATACCTAATCCCACAAATTATGGAATTAGGCATTACCAAATCCAACATGGTATTTTCCATTCCCAATCCCATCGGTAATAGCCCAATACGTCTGGAAAAAAAAAACCCGATCGTTCAAAAGAACCATGGAAGCGGTCTTTCTCGTCTCATCTCATCTCGTCTCCTCTCTCTCTCTCTCTCTCTCTTGCACACTCTCATGACTCTCATCAGATCTATGGCGTCCCCCTCCTTCCCTCCCTGTCACTCTCTTCGGTGAAGCATTGCACCAGATTCACGACCATGACCAAGACCAAATCAAATTCGACCTTTGCAACAAATCTTAGGTAATTTCTCATTCTCTTTTCACTACTTATGTTTATTTTCAAGGTTTCGACACCACCTACGAAACTAATCTCCTGCACCGATACAAATGTAATTGGGTTGTGGTGATTTGGGTCTTGCTTTGAAGGTGTTAGAGAAAATGTCGGACATAAGCATTTTCATTTTACTCACATAGATTGTGCTCTCAAATGTAGTGTAAGAAACAATTGTACTTATTTTTGTCTAATTCTGTAGTCATCTCTAGTGTGTAGACATCAAGCATATTGTTTCTTGACTGGCAAGACCACAATTTTCTATCCAAAGTGTAAATTTGAATATGCTTTGCAATACAAAAATGATGCAAATAGTCCTCCCTTCCGCAATATCAAGTGTTTTTGTCATATACACCCTAGAAAACTAATTCTGTGTATAAAAATAAATCTAGGGTGGAGGAAAAGACAACAAAACTCATATACACATTGCATGCAACATGAAGAGACGGGAAATAGGAGATGAGCAAAGAGCAATTGAGCATAAATATATGTGTGTGTGTGTGCAACCAGACAATGGAAAAAAGCCTAAAAACAATAATTAGCTGTCCTGTTTGTTTTGATAAAACAGTTGTTATTGGAGCAAAACATTCAAAATTTATGTCTGATGGTTGAGGAATGAGCCTTTAAACTATGCGATAAACATGAAATCAAAAAAGAACTTCGGCTGCTAGAGATTGCTTTAGAAAGGGCTTATAGAAATGGGAATAGGGCTCCAATTGTTGGTGTTAACGTTTCACAAATAGATTACAGTAACTGTGCTATATCTCTCTGGCAAACTATGATGCGAAAATAGGGATCTACAGCTTTGAAAAGGCTTTAATGATGATCACTGCTGAGATCTTTAAAACAGAAGAAAGCCAATTACTGTGTGAGATGAATGCAATAAATAATCTAAGTAGAGAATTCAATTACTGCCATGAAGAGTATGTGTGATGGTGATGGTTAGACAATGCTGAAAGCAGAAGGTTAATTCCATATCATGTTTGATTTCTTTTGAAAGTTTAATTGTTTAATTGCCCCTTAACTACTTGAGTTGTTTTAACATTCCAATACCATGTTACCTAATAGTTGAGGGAGCAATGTAAAACTTGTAACTATAGTAGGAGGTGCATTATGAAAAACTTGATAGTTGAGAGGGTAATGTACGACAGGAGATAGTTAACCTTGTCACGACATCAACTTACTCAAATTACATCATTCTTTTGGTATTAAACATGATGATTTTGGACTGATTTTGATGAGTCATCTATTCATGCATGCTGGTAATCTGTGTTATGTATTTTGTTAGAAGATCTACTTCCTCTTTGTTTTTCTTATTTGAATTTATAATTGGTGAAGTTAAAGTTTTTATACTTATTAGTAAATGTTTATCAGGGATCTGATGCCAATAGACCCAACTGAGGCGGAGGTAGATGCAGCAGGTCTCGTGGTGGAAAATGATGCACATGATGATCGTATTACCACGGTTGAAACATCCAATGAGTGGTCAACCTTTAGATTGAATTCGGCAAACAAAATGTTTGATGAGTGGAGAGCAAGTAGACAAAGAGTGTAATTTTTTGTACTTATATTTGAGAATACTTTTGTTTCTTGGAATTCTACCTCTAATGCTATTGAGATGAAATGAAATGAATTTAAGAATTCTTTTTTTTATTCAACTTATTTTTGTTTTCTGTATACTGTTGATTATTTTTTGGACTTACTTTTCATTGATTTTTTTTTGGTTCAACCTGCATGTTCGAATCAGATTGCTAGTTGTCTTTATATTTTTTTTTTTTGGGTTTGCACATGTGCTCTATTGAATTCACAAAGAATTATAGTTGTTCATTTGAAATGAATGACAAATTTTGAATATTTTTTGATTTCTTTTTGTGAACCTATTTTCGAAGGAATTTGTTTTCTATTTTTTTAAAATTTATAGTGGCTTAATTGTTTTCAATGGATTATCAAATTTTCTAATTATAAATTTTTGTACACAACTTGCAATTGCAATCATAAAAAAAAATTGTTATTAATTATTTTTAGTCATTAGGGATATTTTGATTAAAGTTGTTTTCATTCCGATGAAAAAATTGTTTTATCCAAACACAGGAATGAAATATCCATCACTTAATCTAAACAGTTGTCAAACATTCAAAAAGTAAAGTTGCTTCATTCCATTCCATTTTCAAGTTCATTTCATTCCTACTGAAAATATTATCGCATACCAAACGCAACGTTAGTGTCCATGAGTGTAATCACATTTTTTCAATCTCCTAATGACAACATTGATTTGGATCTATGTATGATTTAAGTGTAATCACATTTACCGAATATCGTGTAATATTTATAGAGATTGTAAACCACCACCCTAGGTGTGTGATTTGCAAGAAAGAAAAGATTGGATATCATGTATTCGTTGTCATTATGGCTGATATATGGGAAATCAAGTATCATCAAAAACAATTGTGAGGTTATGTTTAGGAATTCAAACACTTGATTTAGAAGTCTTATATGATTCCCCGAATTTCTTTTTTTGTCCGTAGAAATTGTAGTTAGATGTTATGATTACTTGGCTTCTTAAAAAATAATTGGATTATTTGCAAGTTATGCTGTTAATAATATATTAAGAGTTATGGATGGGTGGCATTGTTTGAAAATAGAGGTTCTATTCGAGTCACTACTGAAGAACACTATGTTTTAAGGATAGTCCAAACATCGTTGTTGGTGGAAAAAGTGTGTCAAAGAACAAGGCGAAGCATTCAAAAAGAAATGGTGTATACAGAAGGTTAGTGACTGCTCAAGGGTTCGCTGATTTTCCCTTTAGAGGCGAGATAATAAGCCTGCTAATGTTGAAAGTTATGTTATCTTCTTCAACTGTAATCACATTTACAGAAGGGAAGGTGGAACGGTTAGTAACTACTCGAGGGTGGTACCTCTCTGAGTTTCCTTTAGGGACGAGACAATAAGTCTGTTAATGTTGAAAGTTCCGTTATCTTCTTTAGCAATTCAACTATTACACCTAAGGAACAGGGGAATGGTTAGCGAATGTTTGAGTTTTTGATATCTTCTTCAGCCATTTAACTAAGGGTTTTAAGAGGTCCGGTATTTTTTTTTAGAAATTATAGGGCAAAAAATACTACTTTTAAAAATATAGGTCAAAAAGTATCCAACCCCTAACAAATTT